AGTGAAAATGGCCATGATGGTGAGAAACATGTAACAATGGTTACAGCTGATCATATTTGAATGTGTACAGCACCTTATTAACCTTTAAAACATGTCACACAAAACTCAAGAACAATTTTACTCATTGTAAAGTTAACAAGTCAGCATGTCAAACAATAAAATAAATATCTTTTGCAGTTGATGTTGTTCCCAAACCAACTACACTTGGTCGAAGGAGTCCTATGCCGCTTTATGTTCTCAATGAAGATGTAAGTCACTCTTTTATATTAGTATGCTAACACTTAAGTTAACAGTTAACTTACTAGTTAACAATGCAACTGATGCTGATGAGAAAGTCATTAGTTTGAATTAAAATTGTTTTGCAAATATTTAAAGGTCCAATGTGGAACATTAAGGAGGATCTATTAGCAGACATGGAATATGATACTAATAGGTATGTTTTCATTAGTGTATAAGAGATGGGGATCCCTAAAATCATTAGGATTCATCCTCAGGAACTACAAAATTTAATAGCAATCCATCAATTAGTTGTTGAAATATTTCAGTCTGGACCAAAGTGGTGGTCAGACCTACAGACCAGCACTGCCATCCGTAGAGACACGCTGCTATCAAGGCCAAAAACATACCCTAGTTCATGCTTTTACAAATTAAACACCACAGCTGATGATTGTAACAGGTGTATCTCCATCTTGTTCCAGGAGACTGAGCGTTTGGAAGAATGTTCTGGCAATGCTCTCAGCCAATCAGAAATGAGTATCCCTGCTACCTACGCTCCAGTCCTTCCCCCCTCGTCCAACAGAACTGACCGGCCCATCTGGTCTGCCCCACGCAGATACCCCCGCAGCCCCTCTCCACTGGCACAGCCTCTCCCACAAACGCTTCCAGGGCCTCCACTGCGCCCTGTCCGTTCACCTGCTCACTCCCCTGGTTCATCCCCACGCAGTTTCAGCCCAATAAGAAAAGTCCGTCCTCCAGTAGGTATCCCAGCCAGCCACCTGCCTGTAGAGGCAGAGTGTCCAGACCCCTGTGATCAGACTCACTGTCCATCACAGCAGTGACAGCTGCTTGGATGTATGTTTTCATTCTGAGATATGTAAAGTACATGTATAGTTTGCTGGTGTAATGTTGCGTTACGCAACAACGATAATGGATCTGATGCAGTAGGATAAGAGATGAGCTCACTTTCAGCTAACTCTTTGTCTTTATGTTCCATTATTTATCATCTACTTCTCTATGGCTATGTACAGTATGTCTGTAGTCTTTCGATGATATCCTCTCATATGACAAATTATATTCTGTCCATCAGCACATAGTGTATCTGATGCTGAGACAGTAAAGAATTTCCAACTCTGGTATATATTTTGCTTTTTGATGAATTCTGAATTTTACTGGAAACTTTTGATAAGAACCTGTACATATGTAAGTTAATAGTTTTTGGGGTCAGGATTTTCTTTTGAATAATTTAACCACAAAATGTATTCTCATTCAACATTAGGTAATAATCTAAGGCAATAAAACATTTTAAATAGTTTGTAATTTGTCATCAATTTTGTAACATTTTTACACCACAACCCAGCAAAAAACATTCATTTTCACTCTTTTTGATTTGTATCGTATTGTAACAAAGTAATACCACAAAGTAGAAATGCTTTACCTTCTTTTTACCATCTTTGAAAGGGAGCTAAAGGGGATCTACCAGTCTTGAGTATGAACGTAATTCCTTTCTAGTCCATTAGGTGTCGCCCACACATTTCTTTAAATACTGTATTTCAATGCACACTTGTCAGGAGAGTTCCAGAGAGATAGATATACTTATTTTTCCTGTACCACTTTTGGTCAGCTTTTTTAATCCATAAAGTGCATCAGATGACATATGACATTTTGGACTATATTGTGCAATGTCATGTTCAATGCGGTACCTCTGTTTGAACCCTTTGCTCTACCTAAGGATGGCACCCATGAGCAGAGCTAATTGGCTAATGACAAAGTGCCTCTTAATCTTGAAAAGGTCAGTGAGGATCAAGCTCAAAATATAGAAAATGTGAGCTCATTAGGTTCAAGGGGAGGCTTTAAGTCAATGATGTATGGTCAAACAGTTCATTTTACAGCCAGTTTAAAGTAGGCACGTAGCCTCCAGTTGATTTACCATGAATATATTCTTCTTGATTGAAGACAAACTGTTTCTGGAAATTAGTTTTTACAGTACATGGCAACTTTTTTTTACTTAATTACTTAATATTGTGTTTATTTTATCCACTGCCGAAAAAACACTACCATGGAATAAAAAAGACCAAAAAGATTAAAGATTAAAGGATGTTCTGAGCTGGAATACTTTGTACTACAGAGTATACTAATGCACACAAACACACACAGACACACACACACAAAGTGGCCTGGTCCATCACTATTATCAGGATAATATGTTCCCTTCAGAGGTCCAGCTGGACATCTTTTGTCATGAAAATCTGCATGATTTTATTTATTTCTTTTATCCTGAAATGTATCTTCCGTTACTGAAGGTGTGATGAGTCTTGTGATTACATAAGCAAATCAGATCCGTCCGTTTTGATCTGAGCTTTGCAAGCTTTGTTCTATTTGAAACACAATTTATGCCTTGGCACAGACTCATGAATACACATACAGCATCATGGGCACACACAAGCGCAGAAGAGCAAGCACACAAACGTGCATAACCACTAGTGGCTAACAGTAAGTGGAAAATTAAATGTCCTCAGACAATAAAAGTGGGCCATTCTTTTTGAGCTTGGAAATTGGTTTTAATCTATGTTGATCTCACATTTTTATTAGTCATACAGTCTGTCCGCTCGTGTTCCACCTCTCTTGAATTGGAAGCGAAGGCAGTAATTAGACTCTGGGGAGCACAATCACATCTGTGTGCGTATAGTACATGTGTATGTGTGTGAGCAGTAGGTGTCTTATGAGTTGAATAGAGATGATGCACATCGTCCCTAATTAATTACCTCCTCCTCCTCCTGCCTGGTCGAGCTTTCTCGCTAATGTTCTTGTCACACTTGTTGATGTGAAATTCCCAGTAGAGGAGGGTGACTTTAGTGTTGGAAAGCTCTTATCTAGCCTTTTGTGTCTAGGTCAGGACCTGCAGTAGTTCATAACAGGTTTCTGAGTAGGTTTCCTACCAGATGTATTTTCTGATCCACAGTATGCATTCACTGTTACATTGTGCCTGACATTCTTATAACTTATAACATTTAATATTTACTAAGCATATGTTATGTGCTTAATATTGTATTTTGTTCCATATTACAATAAACTATTACTACTTCTCTCTACTCTGAAAATATGAATGGCAGTAACGAGGGACATTTACAGTATCGCAGTACTTCAAACTTGTTCTTTACTTCATTTCCATTTTGTGATGCTTTATATTTACTAATACTTAATTCTAAACTCCACAACATTTCAGACACTTGGAAAAGATTTGGAATATTACACTTTTTACTTCACTTAATTTGTTTAATCCCTCATCTATACTGTACATATTTAACATACAATGGGTAAGACAATAATAAGATACTTTAAGAAACAACCATCATAGCAAAATATTTACTTATTTCTTCATAATCTTCAATTAAATCTTCATTATTACAAACTAATTTACTCACAAAGTCGTAAACAATTGGAATGATAGAATAAAGCAGCTGTGAGACTTGACAAAAAGTATACCTCTCGGGTCTGGATTAAAACTGTATATTTTCTTGATCTTGATAAATATGTAAAATATAATGCATTGTTAAATATTAAACCAGTGAGTCCAGTTGGGGCTCCTTGTGACATTTCAGATATCTAAGTTGTTAGCAGTTTCACCCAAAAAATATTATATAAGAATTTCATTTAAATAACAGTTTCAGGCCCAGAGAGGTCAAATTGTCCAATATTTTACAACAAAGAAAAGATCAGAGAAACAGCCAATAAATTAATGCAAATTTGTAGAAGGTTAGACTTTGAATGCAGGACTTTTACTTGCAGTGGAGTACTTTTGCATTAACGATTGAAATACCTCTTCCACCTCTGCGGATGAGGAATCCCTCCTCTATTGCTCTTTCTCCTTCTTCCCCTTTTTGTGTACTTTTCCTTATCCAGTGTTGTATATTGTACAGATTGTAAAGCAATTTGAGATCTCGGACTATTGAAATGAGATTAAAACAACATGAAATGAAAAGCATTGACATAAGTCAGACCTTTTGCAAGTTTTTTAGAAGAATTTTCCTACAAAATGTTGTCAGAACATGTGCTTTAATACATTTATTTTATCCTCCACTTGATCGACGGTGAATTGTTGCTAAAAATATAAAATGCACTTTGAAACGTCCTCAAGTGGTCTGCTGAACTCATCTGACCAAACCATCTGCCAGACGGTTCTCAAACAATGGAGTGGATGAGTGGACTGGGGAGGTGTAATGCACACACACACACACGCTTACATAGAAAACAAACACAAATACATATCAAATGAACATAACACACCCTCACACGTATGTACAAAAGCAGTAAACATGCAGCTCACTGGCTGACAGAAAGAACAAAGCAGCACTTGAAATTAGGGGCCACCTCGGTTAGAAGTGGAGTCCCCCTGACAAGATATAATTTTCCATGTATCATTGAGTGCTCTAATCAGTGTTTTGTTCCTGCACTGTGTGCCTTTTGGGCCAATAATAATTGCTATTTTCAAGGTATAATATAATTCTCCAGCCAGGTTTCAATCAGATAGCTGTGGAGTAAACAATTTACGTTCCGTTTTTGATAAAGCATTAGTGTTTGTGTGTTTTTTTTCCTCTGACATACATTGAATCAGACGATGTAGATAAGCAGTTTGTGACCAGCTCAGGTAAAAGCTCTACACCACTTAGGACATCACGGTTGTCTTTTTTTTCTCCATAGTAACAGTCCCCTGGCAACCAGTAAGAGTGCCAGTTATATTCATAGTTCTCCATACCCCTCTGACTCCCTCACACATACCCTTCCTCACCTTCTCCATCACTCACATCCTCTCTCTCCTACCCTGCAGCTCCCTTCGCGTATGTGTGTTTGTGTCTGAGCAAGTGTGTATGTGAGTCAGCTGCATCCTTAGCACCTGGGACATTACTTTCGGTCTCCACAGGGGAAGCTGCACCACCGGCACTGTGAGTTTAACAGATCTGCAGTTGTTTTTTGTGAATTAATTTAACTGTGATTTTAATTTAACTGTGATGTATGTATTATTATGTTGTCTGTTTTATTGAAAGTTAATATTTTACTATTTGATTGAAAATGTGTATTATAGAAATAATACATGTAAATAGCTGGTTTATTTATCATGTTTTATACATGAGTTTAAATTTCCATGATAATGTTTTAGCATTTTTATTACCCTATGTTTTTTTATATATTTTTTTGTATGTTGTATGTTTTTTGACAGGATATAAGCAACAGCAAAAGCTTGCATAAAAAATAACGTAAGTTTAGATTTGCTGACAGTTAAACTGAGCATGCTCACCTGATACTGATATTTATTCTCTCCTTATGTCGTGATTTATTGTTTTTGTCAGGCATTATCGCATGAATGTACTAAAAAGAAATTTGTGTTCTCCCCTTATTTGTTTCTTTAGTGGCTCCTCAAGAAAAGACCCTCGTTGTCAGCTCTTAAGGTTTATAGTTCAGGGCTCCAAGCCAGAATCTCTGCGGGTGTGTAAGAGAGGAGAGGGAGGTCAACATGGGCTCCAGCTCCTCTTCCTATGCCCCTAAAACCATATACCTGGATGTGGATGGGAAAGTGCAAAAGGTGGGTCCAAATCCAGAGGAAATGCTGTATTTCTTGGATCTATTTTATTGTTGAAATTGTAAAATTCTGTTCAGTCTCCCTTATTTAGAAAAACAAAGTGACTAAATGCATTTTGCGAATACATTTTCCTCTGTGTGACATGCTAGTTTGACTAAAAATAGCTTTTTTTACATGATTTTCTGTCATATAATTTAAATAGGATTGGGAATAAATGAAAACACACAGATTCAAAAGTTCAACAACTCAAAAAATATCAACTGTAGATCACAAAGACTGTTGCACAACAATATCTACACTATAAACACTGAAAATTGTGGATTATGTATCTAACTGTATACATAATCCATTAAATTGTTTTGGCAATCCTATCCAAAATATGTTTAAAATCATCACATTTGGGACTCATCCAGCAAATGTAAACATGTATTTATTTACATACTTATTTATTCAATTTAAAGACATTAATATTTAACAATGGGTTTAAATATAAAACCATCCTTAAGAAACTTAACTTGCTTAATTAAATAATTCAATTTTTAATTCATTATCTTTTTGACTCACATAGCAGGTATTCCCAGCAGACTAACCCCACCTGAGGTGGAGCTTAAATTAGATGGTGATGCAGTTTGTCTTACAGGTGTTACTGACACCTGTTGTTAACAGCTTACACACCTGCATTCATCTCTGCCACTTTATACCTCAGGGTATATAAGTAAAAAATATGGATTTAGATCTACTTCTTTCCTTAGGCTTAAATTTCCAGAAGCAGCAAATAAGCTACTAGTCAATGGTGATACAGAAAAGATAAAATAATAAAGTATAACACTGACTTATTTCCGCTTTTTAATCATAGCATCAGCAGAGCAACAGCTTAGCAATCATTCTAACAGTCGTGACAAATGGTTTAAGGCTCGAGTTTCATGTTCATCGTTCCAAACATACTGAGATAGAGATAAATTCAGCACTTGCTGATGTAGAGTGCTTCAAGTAGAGAGCTGGCGATGACACATGTCTGTTCAAGAGCCCCGAGCCCACTGCCTGAGGCTGAATGTTTGTCTGCTACACCTGCTCCCTTCAAGATGTAAGATCACAGTTTTTGCATAGGGTGTCTGCACCCACGCAGTAGTACTCTCTACTGTACTAAGTCTTGTGAACTGGGTTGATTCCATGACAGGCGTGGATAATGTTGCTTTCTTCAAGAGGTCCATAAACTCTCGCACTCCAGCTGTCCTTTTCTTTCCCTCATGGGTCTCTCTCTGCTGACTTGACCTTATTCAGCCATAAAATGAACCGACCCTTACTTTACATTCCCATGTGACTCGGTTGTCTAAAAAACACATGAAATTTGATAACCTTCCTACCCTGTCAGAACACTGAGGCCTTATATCAAAACCACAGCAGCTGTTTGTGTGCAGGTGTGCCTTTGAAAACCATATAGTCACGGATGTGTGTTGGATCTTACTAGGAAGATCACTATCCATCATATGTGTGGGTATAAATGAATACAAAAGGAGAACCAAGCTTATTAAGAAACCAATAAGAGAACTGTGTTTTCCTCTCAGGTGGTGTTCAGTCGGCACTGCAGTCCATGTGACATCAAGGAGCTTCTTTGTTCCTCGTCTAACATTCCCAGGTTTGTTGTTCAATTTCCTCGCTTGTTTATTTGCCTGTTCGTTTATTTATTCTCACAGATATTACATTATTCCCTATCTGTGTCACTGGGAATAACTGAAAAGTCCCCTTAAATAAAGAAACTATCACACAAAGCTGCACAAAAATATCATACAACACAGCAAGATTATCATGCAATAAAGCAACCAGTAACTTACTATGAACATTTGCATGTAATAATCTGACAGACATTAGACATGCACATCAAAACTTTATCTCATGAGAAAATAAAGATGTAGTTGTCATCTGCCTTTTGCTTCCATTGAAAAAAATAAACTGTTATGCACTGTTCTTTCAGTTGACCCTTTTTTCTATTTCTCTTTCACTTAGAGATAATACATGCCAGGCACAGTGCACATATGAAAAAAAATCTAAAAAACACTCTGATACAATTTTTAACACTGTCTCAACCTTGAGAAAAAGATGATTTACATTTTTAAAAGACATTATAGGTTGAGAAATAGTGTAAAATGAAAAAAGACGGTTGAATAAAATTAAGTGTGTTTCTATTTTTCTCACTTTTCCTCTTGTCCTCTCACCGCAGGAACACTGCCATTATGATGGTGGACCCAGAAGGTGCCTTGGTCTCCATAGATCCCACCATGCCCACCAACTCTCCAAAGTAATATATACTGGCATTATGATATCATATTTGTGTAGCAATCACATTGTTGTGTTATCTTTTTTTTTTTTAAATGTCTACTATATGTTTAAATACCCTGGAAACAGTAGCTGACAATCTCCCCACAAGATCCATTTAATATCTGTTACAGCTATTAAATAAACCTTGTGGTGAGATTCTGTCAGTTGAAAATGAAAAAGTAATATAAAGAAATTGTTGATGTCAAGAATTAGGAATAATAACTCTTCCTCTGATTTCCTCACAGCTCTTTGTACAAAGTTGTCCCTCTGTCTACTGGTCAGCTTGGAGGTAAACTGTCAGCAACAGCATTATTCTCTTTTACTCTAACTAGCTCACTAACATACATCCATTTGTCAACAACACATGACTGTGAAAGTAATAATGAGCATTAAAATACCAAACATGACAATGCTGCTGTTCACAGTGATTTATTGGGAGTGTATTTATGTCTGCAGAGAAGGAGGACATGTTTCAGAATGTGTTGTCCCAGGTGGCTGAGCAGTTCAGCAGGTAACACTTCGTTTATGTTATGTTATGGCTGAAGCCTGTCCTTCCCCTCCCTCACACATACCTTACACACATACCTGACACCCGTGACTCTCAATGACAACGCATGCTGAAACTCACAGAGGCAAGTTAAATCAGACAAGTTCTTTCACCTTTGTCATTTTGTGGCCCCATTCTAGTTTTATTTTGTCATTATGGCCAACCAACCATGTGAAATACATTTCATTCTCTTATCACTTTCTGTTCTTATCGTTTGCCTTCTGCTCACAGAGCCTTTCGCATCAACGAGTTGAAGACCGAGGTCACCAACAGGCTAGCAATGCTGGAGAAGAGAGTTGAACGTAAGTGGTACATTTTACTGTATATAATTTAGACAAAAGCATCCCCCAAAATGTGAAATACAGCAAGTGGAAACACGTTCCTAAAGTGAAACCAAACTGAGATCTGTACTGTCATCTTGTTTCAGTGGAGGGCTTGAAGGTGGTGGAGATTGAGAAGTGTAAAAATGATCTGAAGAAGCTACGAGATGAGATGACTTCAAGAGGTGGTGGCAGGTAAAGTATATAATAAAGTTAGACATTAGACATCTTATTACAGGCGTCAACAGACACCAAATTGAGTACAGTTTGTGTCAAATAAACCTTTCTTGGACTTTTAAAATTCAGAGTAAACTGTCCATGTAAATACAACTTCTCGGATGATGGGAAAAAGGTCACTCCGAGACGAGATGTCCCCAATTACCCAAAGGTATGTCCACTGGGACTAATGGATTTATTACTGTTACACAAAGCTTCATGAATCTCTACAGCGTCTTTTGAAGTTCTGACAGCATTATTTATTTGGCATATACAGTACACACTGTCTCAGGAGACTGTTGAGGCACTCAAGAAGCCAACATTTGATGTCTGGCACTGGGAACATAATGAGGTTTGTTGATATTGCCTCTCCATTACTCAATCAGACATTTCCATTCAATGTTATACAGGTTACCGGTGACTGAATTCCCTGTCTTTTCTTTATTGGCTGCAGATGCTGAGTTGTTTGGAGTATATGTACCATGACTTAGGACTGGTGAAAGAATTCAACATGAACCCCATCACACTCAAACGCTGGCTGGTAAAGTTAGATCAATAAAGGACATCTGGGCACATTGATATACTGTGTTCTGCAGTGCACATGGTGCAGATCTCAAACAAGCTTTTAACTAAAAAGCAGAGGTGTTGCTAAGAGTAGCATCAGTGCTCGGACACAGATGTGAAATAATTATCAAAGGGTACGAGGCTGAAGATTCTGCGGTCACTGAATGAATTATTCTCTGTCTTCTAGCTGGCGATTCAGGAGAACTACCGTAACAACCCTTTTCACAACTTTCGCCACTGTTTCTGCGTTAGTCAGATGATGTATGGCATGATTCACCTCTGCAACCTACAGGTATGGCGCATGTTTATTGGTATGTGTGTGTTCACGCATGTCATAATATTATATCATCAATAATTTCTCTCACAAATAGAAGCAGAATTACAGACTAAAGACAGAATCATCTGTCTTTGCAATACCAACCAATTAACTATCAGCCTGGACATCTGGCAATTTGTAACAACACCTTTCATTTACACGGTTGTCCAGGAGAAGCTGACTCTCACAGATATGGGAATTCTAATGACAGCTGCAGTATGTCATGACCTGGACCACCCTGGCTACAACAACACGTAAGACTCACTATTCTGTCTGTAGGGGTGTTGACAGATAGAGCAATGCAGATGCCCATTGACCCCAGTATGTTTTGACATCTTCTGCACAACACTGTTGTCAATGAACTGTGAAACTAGTTCAGCATGGAGAGAGTTCAGGTATGAAAACACACTGATCCAGATTATCATTGTTGTTTCTGGTCGAAGCTTTGGGCAGGCAGGGACCTCTCTTATCGGGGAAGATTCATGGGAATATACTTTCAATCAATCCATTCACCCATATCATCTATCTACCAGGTACCAAATCAATGCGCGCACGGAGCTGGCAGTGCGCTACAACGACATATCTCCGCTGGAGAACCATCACTGTGCTGTGGCCTTCCAAATCCTTTCTCTTCCTGAGTGCAATATCTTTGCAAACGTGGATCCTGAGGCATTCAAACAGATCCGACAGGTGAGATGTGCATGTAAAACTCACCAGTCCATATGACAAAAGGCATGTTTTATCTTAATCCTACACAGTCCGGTTTCATATTTACAAATTAATCTGAAAACTTTTTTTTAATTTTATGACCTAAATGTAAGCAAATGTCTCAAGCTGACTTTGGTTTTGCTTTTATATTTCCAGGCAATTATCACCCTCATTCTGGCCACCGACATGGCCAGACACGGAGAGATACTAGACTCTTTTAAGCAAAAAGTGGACAACTTTGACTTCACCAATGAAGAGCATGTGACCTGTGTATGTATACATTAAGACTTACAAGATCACGTTGCATCTCCACCTGACCCCAGCTGCTTACTGTGCAAGATGTGGCCTCAACAAGGCAGGCCTTTATCCGTACAGTGTGGAATGGATTGTATTAGCCTAATTGAGAAAGCAGTCACATAAATACAGTAGATGCTCCAGGACAGGGTTGTGTCTTTTGATGATGAATAGGCCTCTTTATCCTGGGTTTTTGTGTGTGGGGGTGGGTGATGCATGTATGTTTGTTTATGTGAGTGTGTTTGTGTTTTCAGCTGAAGATGGTTTTGATCAAGTGCTGTGATATTTCCAACGAAGTGAGGCCAACTGAGGTAGCTGAGCCATGGGTGGACTGCCTATTGGAGGAGTACTTCATGCAGGTGACCTCAACCAAAACATTCACATAACTCCAGACATCCCTTTTCTGAATCTATCACGTCAAGTCAGATAAAGGAAAAAGTAGTTTGTGAGCAATAGCTACTCACAATAGGTGGAGTTTGCTGTATCAAATGAACAAATATTTCCACTTATGTGATTCCCAGAGTGACAGAGAGAAGTCTGAGGGTCTCCCTGTGGCTCCCTTCATGGACAGAGACAAAGTCACCAAACCCACTGCTCAGATTGGATTCATCAAGTTCGTCCTCATCCCAATGTTTGAGACTGTCATGAAGGTAGAAAGATGTGTGTACAGCAAGCTCTTTTATAAATGCACACACTGATCAGCTGGTAAAGCTTTTACTGTGTTGTCCAACAGCTCTTCCCTCAGATTGAGGAGATCATGGTTCAGCCTTTGAGGGACTCTCGTGACCACTATGAGGAGCTGAAACAGATTGATGATGCCATGACAGAGGTAGAACCTATTCTATTCTATCGACCTATCCGTCAAGCTTTGTTCAAACAGACGTGTCAAACTAAATCTGTTGCTAGTCACCTGACACTCTGTAACATAGAGTAAGTAAATTGTAGTACTGTTACAACCAGCTTATGTTGTACAACTTAAAATCAAAATGTAGGCTTGCTTGGTGAGTAGCAAAGCTAGAGTCACTGTGATATGAGCCAGATTGCTAAACATACACATACAATCACACATAGACATATCCAAGCCATTCAAATGTTCAAACATGCATATACTTTGTCTGACCTCCGTTCATACCAGTTGGCTTCTATGACTATTACATGTAAAAAAAATTAAAAAATTAAAAAACTATTTAGAAGAATAGTTTGACATTTTGGAAAATACGCTTCTTTGCTTTCTTGCTGAGAATTAGATGATGAATATAAGGCTACAGCCAGAAGCTGATTACCTTAGCTTAGGACAAAGCCTAGAAACAGGAGGAAAGAGTTTGCCTGGCTCTGTCATTAACACATTATATCAACTTTTTTAAAACAAAAACCAACATACAACATACTACAATTTGCCACTGAGCTATGTGCCAGACTATCCCTTGGCTCTGAGCAGTTGTAAGTCAGATTAAGTCACTTTTATCTATAAAGGCCAAAATAACAAATCACAACAAACGCATCAAACGCTTTGGAATCTTTACAGCATACAACATCCTCCATCCTTGGACCGTAGAGGCAATCAGTAGAGACTCCAGGAAGTTACTGGTCCCAGCCAAGAAATAGTCCGGTACATAACCTGGTGAATTGACACATTTCAGTCACATTTTTATTCATTCTCTGCCAGAAAGTGAATAAATCATGTTTTCCAAAATGAAAATGTTTTGCTTTAAGGTTGTGCTTTTGCCAATGTAAAATTCTAAACACCATAACTTAAGAAATAGGTTTATTTTTACTCTGTTATTTTTAGCGCTATGTTATGACCTCAGGGGACGGATAAGGCTGGGAATAAGACTGATTTAAGTAAGCCCACCCATGCAGTGAACACCGGCATCTTCTGCCTGGTCGCAAGCATGTTGTTGAGCCTCTGTGGAATTTTAATTAATTAATATTGGAGTACACTGCCAGCCTAGACTTGAAGGTACTTACGGTAATCAAAGTATAATAGCAATTATGCATATTTCCTGCTGTGAGACGGAGGCATGCAGAGAACAAATCCAAGTCAATCTACAAAGTGTCATTTAAGCTTTTCACCTGGAGCTACCAAACACTACAAATTATCAGCTGTGCAATTTGTTTCACATGGGTGGTGTCACACACACATACATGCATGCACACACCAATCAAACCGCTTGCTAACATAAAGGTGTGTCTTTTGTTCAATGAGGCACAGAAGAAAAAAACAGAAAATATGTCATTAGGCGGGAAGAAGAAGTAAGCTGTGCAGTGAGTGAGTGCTGTGGTATCTGTGTAAGTAAAAGCAACTGACCCCTTGGTTGTTCTATAGTGTTTAGTGTTAGTGTCATGAGTGCACTCTGTCTCTGCCTCTCTCTGGCATCTCCACAGCAACTCTCCTCTATTCTGAACTCTATCTACAAAAGCCAGACCTTTATGAGTGTGCAGCACTTTCATCACTTTGGATTCGCCCTCTAAGTTCATATCAATATACTCACTAAAAGGAAAACCGACGGGGTAATCCAGTTTAGTCGGCTCAAGCTAAATTGGTTCAGCGTGAGAAATTCTTGGCAAGTGTGAGGGTCTTGGTTGTATAGTAATATATAAGTTAAACGGCCTGCAGAAAAAAAATTCAACAAAAGTTCAACAGCTTACGAGAAAGACAGATATTAAAAAAGAACAAACTCCACAACAATTCTCAAAGTTAAGTAAAGACAAAATCAATCAATTACGTAAGCAAGCACAATAATAAACTATTCAAAATGTATAATATTTAAATATTTTTAAGGTCTTTAACATTCTAGCTCTCTTTGATTTTTGTAATATGACATATACATGACTTAATTAATGTTGCTGTTGGCTGAAAACAAAGTGGTGAAATTGTCGCTCATTTGCTTCACTCTTAAACACCATGTTACTTTTTTTTCTACAGTGACAAGATACATTTTCTGCATATGAATTGAAACTATAACCTCTTTTCCGTCATTTTACGTTTAATTTTTCCACAGAAATAGAATAAAGTTGCCACTAGACTCTGAGCAAGTTTTGACTTCCCACATAGGGAAGCTAATTCTCCCTCGCAGCTCTAATGCAACTTCAGTCCAATAGCCTTTATCTGTGGTGGACGATAACCACCCAAACTTTTGGTGGTCAGGCATGGTTTGTGCTGATTTAGGCACAGCTCTCAGTCAATGAGCTGTGTTTTAAATCTAGTTTTAGTTTCAGCTTTCTTCCTTAATATCCTGCTGTTGCTCTCTGCCTAATCCAAGCTCTTATTTTATTGCAGGGATCTTCATTTGTGTTCAAATTAAGGAAAGACTTTAAAAAACACGACTGAGGCCTCAGTGAAGACGTTCTGTGCTGCGCTCTGAAGATGACAGATGGATCAGGAAAAGAGACTGCTTGGCTACATACTGAACTAAACTTAGGCGTCAAGGTGGCATATCTTGAACTTTGACTTAGACTTTTGCACTGGATGTAACAGAGAGGGACCTGGTGACCTCTCTGTATATTTATGGTGTTTATGTTGTTCTCCTTACCTTTTTGTTTAATAGCCTCAAGATTTTGATGATATGATATGATAATTTATTTTTTCCCATTTTTTCCAGTAGAAAAATAAAATGCACCAAACTGGGATGTGTTCACCTCACTGTAGCAATAAGTTTTTGATTGATATGTTCCACAGGGTGTTTTCCAAAGAATAATGCAGCTTTGCACCTTTTATTTCTTTCTCCACTCACAATGAGCAGCTCATTAAACCATCACAAGTGTAGGTGTATTTTCTTACATTCAACACTTAAAAATAAGTGGTAAAAAAAAAAGTGTTGCACAATTTCTCCTGTAAAAACGTTTTCATATCTCACAATACATGTAAAGCTGTGATTTGCATGTCTGTTCATTTGTCACACCCTGTGAGTCTTTATATATGTAAAGGTTACAAAACACACATTTCAGATTGTCTTCTGTCTTAAAAGGGCGACTGTGTTTCCACAGTAAACATAAACCTAATGTGTGTAAATGTGCGATAGTCTTTGTAACAAAACAGCCTGGCAAAATAAATGCAGGTCTCTAAATTAACTCTGTGTGTGTGTGTGTGTGTGTGTGTGTGTGTGTGTGTGTGTGTGTGTGTGTGTGTGTACTAATTCTAACAACTACTAATATTTTTAACATCATAATTCATAATTAACTTGGAAAGTAAGAAAAAAAAACAGGTACACATTTAAATGTATCAAGTACTTTGAATGTAAATAAGGTGAAGATTTAACTTTTAAAAATACACATCAGGAATATTTACGCAGACATTCCAGTTATACATGGCTGATTGGGATACATTTTATTGCCACATTTTAGACTTTAGGGCTAGAAAACAGTCTACATGTGTTGAAATATGAATAGTTTTCCAGTTGTGTACCACCCAAAGGTGCCACTTATCTCAGCTCACACCACGCCCCTCTCTCACTACAGCTTCTCTTTGAGCCATATCAGATCTGGGTGGTTTTCCTCAAGCTACTCCACACTGTTTTTATTACTGTGGTTTTTGGAAGTATGTTGGCAATTACTCCAGAGCAATTATTGCCTCACCTGTTGGCCTCATCTCACACACAACTACACACTGAATACCACCTACACAGGTCTGATGAAATCACAATCATATTAATAATATAGAGTAATGCACAAATGCTCTACTTGTACTGTATCTGTTTGTTTGTGTCAAAATCCACTAGTAGAATTAATAAACTTAAATTTCCCACATCTAGTTTAATTTAGATATCACTATTTATTCACATGTTTATGGTTTGATGTTTTTTTTTTATTAATCTGATTTTTTGTGTGCATACTACTGCAATCCAACTTGTAAGTTGATGATCTCAAAGCAATAAAAGCAAAGGAAACAGTAGGCCACATGTTATTGTTACAGTTGAGATGAGAGAAATGAGTAAACATATTTGAGTGCAAGTGTTGTTTTAATGGATGTAATTACCCATCACCTTCTCAACATACCATGACAGAGTGTATTGACCTGCAGGAATGCTCTGATTAAACAACATGCTGTCTTATCATCAAGATACTGCTCAGCACTCTGCTACATGGCCAATGATTAAAGCACTGCAATTTCAAAATAAAAGGAGCTTGGTAGTGATAAGTTGAGACCATGTGCACTATATCTTATTGGGTTGCCTGTTCATGAGAACTAAATGCAGAAGGTTTGTTAAAATTAAAATTTTATCGTCACTGTGAGTGAGTGACAACATGATGCAGCATTGTGCCTCTCACACTCGTAATCCCTTCACTTTTCAGTTCCTACATCAAAAGATGAATGTCCGATTGAGCATCCACGCAGCCTGCTATCTTTTGACCCCGTAGACTGTTGAATGTTTTCATGAGTGAAACTTAAGAAATTAATTAAAGTAACTGATATATCTAAAACTCTTTAGTCATTTGCTTCGCCTTAAGGCTGGGTGTTCAACTGTCACAATACTTCAATGGGCCTGTTTGTTGACATGAAAGTGAATACTATATCTACTACAAAAGCGCCTTGATGGTGGTTAAACAAGCAAGTGTTTAATTTTTTTCTTTCACTGGGCTTGCACGATATCAGACCTTAGCATGCAAAGGAAGGTGTGGCACTTGGCAGGGACATTTGATCGGGGTTGGGAATATGATCAATGCAAATTTAAAGTCAAGATAGCAGTAGTTTCATTTACGTATTACAGTAAAAGTAGGTTAAAAAAAAAACAGAGATGTTTGTAATGTCCACCAAAGTTATATTTCATACCATCAAAACAAAACGTTTGACTTTGAGGATCTAAAACATAATGTATTATAATATATGATACGTAATATTACTTGACTTAACTTTCCTTAATCAGGAATTTTCTGAATTTTTTGGGAATTCTGGGCCTCTTCACAAATAAAAAAGATTGTTTTTTAATAAACATGAAACCTTGGTCATTGTAACACAGTATTTTCACGCCACAACATTCTCATATTTGTTGCTATGCAGGCCAGTTGCTAGTGATAAACTTTATTATTTCCACGGATTCCACTTCCAGTGGTTCATACGGAAAAATGATAGCTGAACAACACCAAAATTTAAAATTCAGAGACACTGGTTAAAGGGTTGACTCTGGATGATTTGTTCCATAGCATTTGGAGACTCAGAAGATACAGATTGAAAAGAGAACAATGGAATTTGAAGCAGCGGAGGCCGAGAGAGTCGAATTGACCCTGTAGGAATGACAAAGCCTCGCACCCCACGCTGTATCCTACACCATAGCCTGATGTGCATCTCCCCAGAAATATAACTACATGTCGCCGTGATGCAGACTGCAGCAGACTGTGATTGGCCTGCTTGGTCTGTGTGTGCATTGTCTTGTCTAAAAATGAGAAGCCAATCATGCAAATCCCAGATGAGTTAATAATGCTGTTTGAGGATCCCTCTTCAAACATACTCACACACATTCCCAGACGTCCTCACACACACAGACAAACAGGCACACGTGGGATGCTGCCTCGCTGCATGACATGCTCTTGTCTGTCCCCTTGTATTCTCTCATCCTTTTGTTTCATGGGCAGCAGGGGAAGAAACTAAGTGAGGAAAACACAAAACAGATTGAGGAGAGAGACGAGAGAGAGAAACTCACCACTCATCACCAACCGGCGTTTTGGCAGAGCTATTTGTAGAGCAACGCAGACAGCCCACAAATATATAAATGCTCATAACGGCCTAGGTAACTTGCGTAGCCTACGGTTTTGGCTCGACTTAGAGCCTACATAAAACTATGATTGAGTGTCTTTTAAGTTTCCTCAACAAGCCAAAGCTTCCTCCCGAGCCACAGAAAACATTATTCAACTGTTTTCACATGCTGATGATTACACTATCTTTCAAATTATTCTGAAGGCATTTATTTTTGTTTATAGAAAACATATTAAATCCTAGTGAAAATTGGTGCCATCTGCGTATAACTTTCCCTCCGATTCTTTTTTTAACCCTACCACTAGGGGGCAACAAAGTTAGAAATATTCGAATGCTACACATGGTGGCTTTAATTTTCATGATTTGTTATATTACCTAGATATTCTTGTGGTGTCCCTGAGGGCTCTGTTAATTTATTTTCAGGTCTTTATTTTCTTCAGTTTGCCCCAGCTTGAACTGTGATATGTTTGTTTAATTTAATGAATTGTTGATACTGCTGTCAAAAGTTATCAGCATTGCAATTTGCACACTATGTGAATTGTGCAGGTACCACACACAGCTTTAACTGATTTCCAAATCATGGCTCACAAATCTGCACTGGTGGTCTTACAAATCCTGAGTCTGAGCCAGGAGAAAGTTTAAAACTCTCTGAGAAACCGAAAGGTAATTTGAACCAACGTCAGCCTTTCTATCTAGTTTTATCACAGCTTATCAGATAAAAGCATGTGAGAAAGACATGCACAGGAGGGTTGATCAAAGTTGATAAAATATTCCGTTTTCAAAGCAGCACAGAGAAGTGAGAAAAAACATCCACTGTCAGTTTTAACATGACCACAGTACAGTAATAGTCATATATCACTGTAATGGGCATAGAAATATATATTTCTGAAGCATACCCTTTCTCCTTCATTCAAGAGGCCTCTGAAAAGCCCTTTTACCTTCATGTGAGTTCAGCAAAATTCTCATTAAAAGAGACAGATTTACAGGTGTAGTTAGGAGTTTTGGCCATCACTAAAGAAAATGTAATTTTATATTTCCGTCTCTCCTTCCATTTTTTCTGCTTTTCCTACATTCCCAGGTCAGAATGCACCGTGGAGAGTTCCTCCCAGCATGCGCTCTTCCAGAGGTTAAGGTAAAAGGGCATTCTGTGTGTGTGTGTGTGTGTGTGTGTGTGTGTGTGTGTGTGTGTGTGTGTCTGTGTGTCTGTGTGCATGTGTGCGTGTGTGTGTGTGTGTGTGTGTGTGTGTGTGTGTGTGTGTGTCTGTGTGCTGTCAACAGGCTTTCCAAAATTGAAGTCTTGCAGCAGGAAGCCGTGGATGATGCATGGCCTAGTTTCATGGGAAACTGGGTAAAATCCAAAACACATGGTGTGGAATAAATTCTGACTGGAGTACTACCTGTTAATCACCTTACTGTCCATTAATCTGTTTTTCATTGTGTAATTCCAGCTTGTCCGGCCATTTTTACAGTAATCGGAATGTTTAAGTCATAGGATTCTCCGACAAGTCTATGTAAGCACATGCAATTCTCCATTTATCTTTTGTCGGCGCTGGTCAGAGGACTTAGTCAGACACACACACAGGCTTTTCTCTGCTGACCAGACAACAACGAAGCCCAGACCTGTTTCATGTGAGCAAACACGCATGCAGACAAAGCCATGCTTGAGGGAGAGGCAGTTAAATCATGAGGGATGTCCCATTTACCCTGACTCCCACATTCAAGAATGCCCAGTTCCTTATTTGAGCACTGGACTGTGAGGACACAAGCTAGATTTACTGAAGACAGTTACATCCCCGACAAGAATGGCAAGAAGTCAAAGGTCAGAAGCGAGAGTTAACCCTAAATTCTGGTCCTGCATTTTTGTGTCAGCGACTACTTTGTGGCAGTGGAAACAAAAAGCAGTTACAGATGGTGTAAATCTGGGCCCCAAAACAACATTTTTTTAATCTAAGAAAACACATTCACTGTGGCAGTAACTCTGCAAATAACTGAACTTTACCTTTCTCCTTCCTTTGTTAATGTTTTTGGTCTAGTTATAAGAATAACCCAATCCAAAAACTGACAACTTGTTTTAACAGCTACACTTTTTTACAAGACCTCACACACTTAGAGCCATAGGGCTCTAAAACACCTGTGCTATGCCCTGATAAAACAGGTCTTAAACTTAATGTTTCCATGAAGTGCTATCAGCAGAATATGACTCATTTAAGTGAGAAATAGAAGGCCTACTGCACTTGTAAAATTGTGTAAATTTGCAAAGCCATAATATTTTAAAGAACTAGTGTTAGGATTTAGTGGCACATAGCAGTGAAGTTAAAGTTTGCCACTATAAGTGAGCACCGCTCACGTCTATATGTGACGACCTGGGAATGAGAACAGGCTGTGAAGTGTGTAGGAGAGTCAGTGTTTGGTTTGTCCTTTCTGGGCTGCTGTAGAAACACGGCGGTTCAACATGGTGGATTCCATGGAAGGCGACCCCGCAGCATCTGTAGATAAAAATGGCTCACTTTGTAACGAAAACACAATTGTGCATCCTCCAGGTGTAAAAACTATAAGTTGAATGTTTTTCCTACCTCAATAACACTTTCTTTAATGTTTGAAACTTTTTACAATGGCTTCCAGACATCTTCTTTTGCTTTCATTGGCACATTCTGTCATAATGGTATATAAGGTCAACTGCCTATGTACAATACTGCCCTTTTCATTCATAAGAAAGTCTTTTTACGTCACCTTCCTCGCCCTCCTTGATCATGCGCTGGTGAAACATGAAATACAAACAAAATGGCATACACAGAGTACCTTTAATTAGACTGACTAATTGGTCATTATTATGCAAGAAGTTGAACTTACAGATGTACAGATGATTTGAACTTTGTGGTTGCAAAGGATATTCACATATGCACAAAATAATATCTGAATAACTAATTTAAAAAATGTTTGTGTCAAACTATAATTTTCTATAATAGACGGATGTATGTTTGTATGTATGTATCTTTGCATGCTTATTTATTTTTTGCAGAAAAATTGGAGTTCACTGGTTTAAAGAAAACATTAGAAGCACGCATGCAAACAAAATTGGGACATAGAAAGATATTTGTTTTCCACTCTGTTTGTTTGCCAAGTTGTCAAGGCTGTTGAGAAACTCTGAAACCTATTTTGTTCCACTTTAACTCTGTATATTGCAGTCACTGTCCCTGTGGTTTTTCATTTATACTTTAACATTTTGTGTTGAAACGGGAGAAACTATCTCATATTTACAATGTACTGTTTCTTTAGTTTAATTAAACCTTGCACACATAAAAACAAAAAGCATCATTGTCATAAAAAACAGCCTTAATGTTTCCCCTCGTTTACATTTTACAGCCTTCCAAATGCAGACCTTTTACTGGTGTGGTGTTTTTGGGGGGAGAAGCAGTTACATTAATGGTTCCCCCAGTCAAATAGAGCAGCA